AATAATGTTTAAGTTAAAAAAATATATACTCCATATTTATCATTTTATATTAATGCACTTAGATAATAATTCTTTTTTTGAAATTAATAACTATATAATGTCTTTTGAGATAAAATAATATTCATGAATTAATTTTTTTTTTGAAATATATAAACTTCAATTAATAATCTTGGATTAACTTTCATTTTTTGACTTATGTTATAATTAAAAATAAAAATTATAAATTAAGTAATTTTCATTTTTCATGATCAAAAAACAAATGAAAACAAAGAGAAAAAAAGAAAAAAAAAATAAAGTGTATATAAACAATGGTTATTTTAGTCCTTTTAATGTATAACCTCCTGTCTAGGAGGTAAATGGTAGTATTAGCAAATCTCAGAGGATTTATGGTAGATCGAACCAAAACTCGGGGATGTAGTTCGCCCTTATTATTAAGATAGACATAAAAGATGATTTTCAAAGGGTACGTTTATAATTCAAGATATTTAAACTATTACACATTACAATTATGAGAAACGAAATACACTACACTAACTCTAAAAGGAGACTCTTATCCGCGCCTTCTTCTAGTGCTCAACTATCTATAGATCTCACTGCAACCCGACCCAACCCCTGTTCCCTTAATTTTTATTTCTTTTTTTTTTTTTTTGGTGTCATAAAACTGATTCAAATGGAGATATATGGTTGTAAATAATTACGTAGTCAAAATTAGGATTGTTTCATCGATGATTTGTGATTGAAATAATGGATCATTAATTTGGGAGGAAAAGGGGGGGAAAAAAAAACCCTATATAGCTTGTAGCTCTAAAAGTGACCTGACGCTGTCCATCATCACCACAAATTTGAAACCAAGGCATGGAACTAATTATGGGAACAGCCTAATTTGTGGAGAAATTTGAGCCGACAACAGATATTTACTGAACATGCACATGGTGCGGGTCTAAAAATCTCTCGCAACTGTGTCAAGAACTCAAAAACCCTTTCTATGTCAAGAATTTATCAAGGAACAAATTATTCATACGTTCGGGGGTTTGAAACTCATTATGAGTATAAAACAATTTTATATTTGCCCATTATCCTATTTATTAACATGGGGCGGGAGGGTTGGGTAGGGTGATTAGGAGATTAGGATGGGAGATGGTTATTACCAAGAAGTCGAGGGATCAATTTTCGCTGGGCCATCCAATTTTGTAAAAATTAAAAAAAAAATCCTATTTATTAACATGTCTAGCTACATCTTAAAAGTTTGAGTAGTAATTGATTTCGACGCCGAACGCGGTACTATAGACAAGAAATTTATTTTTTTAAAAAAAAAAAACACTGTATAAGCCAGTAGATGATTTGTTCCCAGAGAAAAATACAGCCTCTATCGAGTTGCTATAGTCTATAGATTAGGAAGTCGAGAAATGTATCTATAATTTATCAAGCGAATAGAAATTTTTTTTTTTTCCTCTTTTTTGACGGGGATACACCAAGAAGAGACAAAAGGCTTGTGAAAAAATTTAACTTAGATATGCTCAAATTTACTTCATCTACCAAGTTTGCCAAACATATACTTCAAGAGAGATATTCTTACTTGAACGTGCATGTGTGTGTGTAAGGCTTTCCGTACATCAAAACTTCTTAAAAGGACGAGTGTATGGGCAACAACTCATGAAAGGAGAGCCCCACTTCAACTTGTAAAAACGCCTCCACTAATATGATGACATTTCGCAGTCCCATAAGTATATGTTCAAGTTGGTGGGGGGGGGGGGAGTCCCCCCTCTTTCTCAATGTGTGTGTGTGTGTGTTTTATCGTAGGAGTTTTTGATTTCCACTTAAGAAGGCATGCATGTATTGCTATATAGCTGACTGCCCATGCATACAAGACTACTGTTGGTACTGAAGCCCTATACGACCTGGTTGCCTCCACGAGCAGAAATAGAGACTAGCCTAAAGGAATTACTTCTTGGTAAACATGTCTAAAATAACTATACTGTGATGAATTTATATTTGAAACAGATAAGTTTTTTTCAAGAGATAAATATTCATCAAGAAATTGTTGGGGATTTATCTAGAGGAGAAAACCCGATATGGAGCCCAATAAGTAAGATAAGACCCATCTAAACTCAAAAACTCAAGCTAATGGGTTTTGAGACCACCTTACTTATTAAGTGATTCACATGTCCTCATACCTCCGATGTGGGATTCATAATCCTTGCTACATGATTCTCAATATTCTCCCCCGATAATTTGGGCTAAATCATCCACCCAACTGGTCCAACCTAGGCTCTGATACCACTGTTGGGGATTTACTCAGAGGAGAAAACCCTACATGAAGCCCAATAAGTAATATAAGACCCATCTGAACTCAAAAGCTCAAGCTAATGAATTCTGAGACCACCTTACTTATTAACTGATTCACATGTTCTCATGCCTCCGATGTGGGATTCATAATCCTTGCCACATGACCCTCAACAGAAATATTTGAATGACCAACATTACGTGTCCGCGTAAGGAATCAAACCTTAACCATAGTTAAGAAGGAGTACCTTATATTCCACATGGACAGAGTGGTCGTTGGTTATAAAGGACTGTTTTTTTAAAAAAAAAAAAAAAAAAGAAAAAGAAAATACGTTTTAGGCTTTAGCTGTTGTGTTGTGTAGTTTTTGTAGGTCTAAATTCTAATTTTGAATGATGACGCCTCTCTGTCGATGTCAGCTGGAATGGCTTACACATGTTATAGAGTGTTTGTACTCTTAAAGGGAGAACTCAAACCATCCCATCCATACCAAGGGAGAATTCAAACACACACTAAAAAAACGAAACAAAAATATGTACTTTTAGGTAATTTTTTATTAAAAATATAAAAAAGTGTATTAAAATGTAAAAAAATATAATGTAATGGGACAATTATTATTAAAATAATCTGAAAAAACTATTCAAAAAACCAAACAAATATCGGTGAAGTACTTATGAAACTTGTGTGTGGGGTTTATATTGACCTGACAAAATAACACTAAAACCAGATAAATAATGCATGCTTTCTTAAAGTCTTCTTCATAAAAAATAAACCAGCAATTGTCAGAATCTTTCAGAGTCTTTTTCATATGGATGAGGGGATATGCATTCATGATCTGCTCAATAGTTTTTAGACAAAATTTTGCGTTCATCGAAGACCGATGGTTCTTGACTATATACATTTTCTCTAGCCTAAGGTACTTAACATCGAAATGAAAAACCAATGATTAAGAGACCCTTACTCTTCAAATCCAGGTAGAATGAGGACAATAATGTCTAGACGAGATTGTGATTGTAAGTCGTAATCATACATAACGATACATGGCGGAACCACCTGTTCAGATTTGGGAACTAATTACATATTTATGATCAGAAAATATAGTCAAATATACATGACGGGAGGTCAACTATGCCTACCTCAAAATAACCTTTCGGCCGGCCGGAGCTCGGTATTTCCAAGCCTCTTAAGAGTTCTGCCGCTGTAATGATATATATAACTTCATCCATATTATTTTTCTTTTTTTTTTTTTGCAAGTTTTCGTGGTGATTTTTTTGTATTGTACATACATATCATTGCTACTCATGAATTCAATCCACTACTTGATGATTCTACTACGTCTATGTGGCTAGAAAATTAGTGACTAATGTATATCATGATCACATGAACTTTTGTGGTCAGCAGCTTGAATTGCCATATTCTTTAAGCCACTTTAATTCCCATTTATAACTCATTCACTACCAATATGATGACATGAAATTGTGGAACTACTTTGATAACCATTAATATATACCATAAATGTACAAGGAAATTGTACTTTGTGCATACTATAAAAATGTAAACAGCACACAGTCGAATGTCTTTCAAGCAAAAAAGCTGTTTGCTATATATTCTATTCGTAGATATAGCTACCTGTCGAAAGATACCATAAGTAACTATACAACCACATACTATTTTTGAATTTTGAAGAATCTAAACGTACAGATTTTAATTCGTTCCAGCAGTAATATTGTGTACCATAACCTAGTCAACCGAAATGGATCGTACCACGAAGTGTGCTATTGAAGACGAAAGTTTCTATCCTTTTTATTTTTTGACTAAAAAATCCAAACTCAAGAAAGCAGTAGTACATTTTTTGAATGCATTGAATCATTTGTTAGTAAAGCAAATGGATTATGACATTTATCAAAATTCGAAATTTAAGGTGAGGACACATATCAAAACTAAGACTCATCTCTTGTAAAAATTAAAACTAGAAAAAAATAATTAAAAAGTTAAGACTCATCTCCAGTCGATTCTGATAAACCCTTTTCCGAGAAAAAAAAAAAAGTCTCAGGTCGAGGACTCAAAATCCTTTTTGGCTCAAGGAATTATGTAGCTATGTGGGCATATAGATTATTTACTCCGTATCTCGTTTCCTAGTTCATCATTTCTCTTTTCCATATTGTTTCTTAACAGCTCCTTAGTCTTTTGACCATAAAATTACTGTCAGTCATGGTTTTAATGTTCATGGGTGCATGCAGACGGCGCATATCCGTACTACAGAACAATGAAAAACTTGTTGAAATCTCATATTCAAGCACACGTTTCTTAGTCAAGCTCTCATGATAAGAAATGCAAAATTGAATAGTATACTACTGTTTCAAAAAAAAAAACAAAAAAAAAAAAAGGGAAAACCCCATGTTAGAAAAAACCTTTGATACGGGAGAAAATATTGTGTGCAGCCAGACACAATAAGTAAAGTAAAATAGTAATTTTGGGAGAAAAATGATAACTTATACGGGAGTTTTAACAATAAAATAATGGGATGTTAATAGTTTGTTGTGCTAAAAACAAGGATATATAACAACGGTATGCACTTGATCTGCCTGGAGTAGCAATTGCTCTAAGCGTATCATGTGTTTGCTTATTACGATATCCAAAATTTACCATGCACCAAAAAAATGAAAAGGAAAAAAAGGAGGGAGAATTCAAACGACAAGATAAGATTACAAAGCAACTTGCCAAATTCACTTAAATTGCGGTTGCAGAAAACATTGGATTGAAGTGCACATTGGTAGGGTTATGGTACAAATTAGAGCGCACATTTGTGTCTCTGCAAACAACATTAATGATGGATACAATATACATAGACATGTCACATATTAATAACACTAAGAAAAGATGTCTTTTTTAGTGGGTCGACAATTATTCTGCAGCTTTTATCATCATCATTCATTCATTCATTCATTTAGCGCCTTCTGGCCGCAGTTTCCCGCTGGCAGTTGAAGAAAACAGCAGAAACAGGAAGTCCCAATTCATTTTCATGTGCAAAAGCTCGGGTGTTGAATCCATCCCTTGATGAAAGTGATGCAATATTCACTGGCTGTGATCTTCTTTTCTGCTTGAACAATAGGAACACAAACCTGTGGATCCCTATATTTGGCCTTGGCATCTCATAATTCACCAATTCTTTCCCTATTGATTGATCATAAAGAAGGCCAAGAAAATCAAGCAATAAAAAGAGAGAATGATCAAATATGTGGGTTTTTACGTATTATTTCCATCATATAATTTGTACTAGTAGAAGCTAAAGAAAAGCGAAAAAAATATACCGAATGAGGCATCTGTTGTTCCCGGAATGTCTGTAACGATCCTGCAAAATTACATGACTATCAGGTTCGAAGTTCTTACTAGTATGATAGGTCTCATAAACATCTAAATCTATTTTCACTTATACATCTATTTTTACATAGAAAACCTTAACATCCATTTCAAAAATTAATTGGCAAAAGATACATAACGTTCTTAAGTATCAACTAGCTATCTCTCAAATATACTTAAAACGTATGTGTCTTCAACAACATTTACATGTACTCGAGGTTTTGCCGAAGGAGAGTTTATGCGAAATGCATGTCTACAATTAGTCAAAAAATGAAGTAAAATTAAAGCATTCTTATTAAGTCAATACGTCATTGGTTCTTGCTTCCGTACAAAAGATTCATACCAATGCAAGTGCTCTTTAAGGTATGGATCACTAGGTCCAGGAGCATCAGGGTCAGTCATAATCTGCAAGAATTAATCAAAAAAAACGTTAAAACAAACAAAGAAAGCAACAACAAAAGTTTAGAAAACATGAACTTGAGACTTGAGAGAGAATATATACCAGAGTGAAGAAAGACCTAAGATCACCACCATGAACTTGAACTTTAGGCTTCATGGTAACTGAGGAAGGAAAGAGTTCATGTCCATTGTAGACTTGCTTGTTACAGTTGTAAGTTACAGACATCTTTACAGTCGGTGAGAATTGGTCAACCACATCTCCGATTACTCGACCAATCACCAAAGGATCTGTACTCACTTTTGCCATTCTTTTTTAGCAAATTTTACTTTGACAGGTTTTGGTCCCTTTTTTTTTTTTTTGGCCCTTTGGGAGACTTGGTTGCTGAGCGTAAGACAGGTAAAATGGATATTTATAGTAGCAAAAAGAACTTGTGGGAATAACTATATATGAAGAGTAATAGTACTCAGGAGGTTTATATGTATCCATTAAAGAAATGTGTTCCAAAAAAGTTGAAAGAAAAGAAAAATTCTTTTTTTGACTAGGACAGAGAGGGAGGAGGGTCCTTGGGGAGCTTGACCTCTGGGAATCGTTTAGGGCTGTTTTGTACGTATTCCAATCATCGTTTCCAAATGAGCTGTTGTCGCCTTTTGATTGGATGAAATGTTAATATTTGGATATATCAGTTCGGAGATAGATCCAAGCATGTGTGGTAAGATTTTAAGTTAAAGTTTTTTTTCACGACTAAGAATCGAATTTCATTTCTGATCGTGTGAAATTTTATGTTAAAATAAATAAATAAAAAGGAATTCATCTAACTCGAATCTGGATTAATCGAAACAATAATTTCAGACACTAGGTGCGTAATATACCAAAAAGGTAAAATAAACAAAACGAATGTTTAAACCTTGAGCATAAATTAACAAATTGTTATAAAAGAGAATCTTTATCTCACTTATTATGACTCGCGTATTTTATAAAAGAACCTAATAGTTTTAAACAAGTCTTTCTCTTTTCTCTTTCATTGATTAATATTGAAAGCGTTCCACGAAAATAATCTCTTCTCATCTAACTAGTCGACATACTAATCAACAGTAACTAAAAAAACTAGTCAAGTTAATTTAACCTAGCAGAAATATCAGGTTGCATGCATGCAGACGCAGTACGGGACGTGGTGATTGTTTGGTGTCCCCATATCCATTATCCAGTATATTAACTAAGAAAATGTGGAATTTAAATTTTAAAGCTTCACTAAATCAATCGAAAAAGTCAAGCTCCTGTGCTTTATTCGCGATTTTACTTCCGTCACAGAAATTTGACCTTAATTTCATCCAGGATTAATCCATCACTTTATGTCTAATGATTCCCTGAATCACTATCTCATTCCATTGGTTGCGCCCAAAAGAATGGACGAACGTACTGCGGGCACAAGTACTACCTTTATTGACATGATCAATGGAATTCTCAAAAAGAGCTAGCAAGTGTTAAAATAAGATTCTGATCGAGCCTCACTCACCTATATCTAGAAGCTGAAACAAAATTTTCAATTGAAGTGAAAGGAATTTCCCTTTTTTTTTCCGATTTTACTTAATTCTTTCTGAATTGTGTTGAAGGAGAGTTGAATTCACGACCTCATAGACATAGAAAGAAATAAAAAGAATACTTGCGGGTGAAATGATTGTGATGCCAAGGTTTTGTGCAACTTGGATCTTTCTTTACTTTATCTAGACTTATTATTACCCTAACCTTTATATATATAATTATGATAAATCAATCTTAATATATGATCATGCATTACTATTCATGGCATTCTACTTCCCCTATATATCTTCTTTTCTCCCCCACCTTCCCAGCCGCACAAAATTTGTGTTTGTGGTTGAGGAGCGAATTAGTATATAGAAGCTTCTTTGTCCCATTCCCTAATTTGGTAAAATACCCCCACAATATAGACTTAAAATTAAAGAAATTGTTGATGCTGGTAAACACACCCTATAGCCACCAAGAAAGTTTCCTCCCTTGCTTGAAGGAATAAAAAGCTTCAATGGTTAGGATTGAAAAAGGAGGTGCAAAGAAGCCAACATATTAATTACAAGAGATACCCATTAAAATAAATTCCACAAGCTACTCAAGAGATCCAAAAAGAACCTCCCTTGATGCTTTACATTTATAATTGGCGACGAATCATGTTCATTTCCCTCATATTACAAGTCTATATGCACACACTATACATTTATATCGCTATCCGTTTTAATTAAAACACTGACAGACAACAGGTGTTATGAATAATACTCTTATACGTCTTATTATATTCTAGAGAGAATGTAAGTTTAGTATGTCTCTTCTCTTAATCTTGTGAAAATTGATTTAAATAAATAACAAAAGAGCAATCAAGCTTACTAAGCATCTGAATGGACATTCTCAAGCGACTAAAAGCACAAAGAGAGATAAAGACATGAGCGAAAATATTGTTTGTATTGTCTTTAGAACTCTCCAAAGTTACTATTTATGGAAATAGGGGAAAGAAGAGTGCAATGGGTATAAAAGAATTTCTTTTCATAAGACAAAATGGTCACTAACAAGAAAGTGATCTTTGTGTGAGAAGTCATTTCAAGAAAAAAGGAAGTATCACAGTTCTGTTTATGCTCTTGAAATAGAAATGGGCCGTTCAGCATAATTTCTACATATAGGAACCAACAACCACCTTATCATCTCTTTTTCCCTTCAAGTCCACTCTTGAAGAATAGCTTCTATCATTTCCCACTGCAATTATTTTAATTTTTATCTTTTCACCATCTTCGACGTACGTTTCAAATCTAGAAAAAGTAAATCACAGTATATATTGAACCCATTTTTTAATTTATACATATAAACTAGCCCACGGACTCATATTCCTTTTTTTTTTCAAAAAAAAAAAAGTTATTGAAAACTTAGAGACTTATCATCAATTGAACAATAGAAATTCATACAAAGAAAACTAGTAAAAAAATCACACGACTATATTAACTATTCAATTGATAAATTTTAAGCGTAAGGTGATGTAAAAAGATATAGATATATGATCTAACATGTATCACTTATCGCAAATTTTCCTCGAATTTTATTCTTTCCATTCAAAGGACGGATAAATTACCTTATACGTGTGTATATATATATATATATATATATATATATATCATTGTTTATCATGTATTTGTCTAATTCGTTTTTATATCTTACTATATTAGAAACAAAAACCACACTTAAGAGAAAACACCACCATTTGCCATGTGGCATTTTCACATCATATTTTTAAAATAAATTTTTATTTCTACATCTCCTAAACTTAAAAGTCAAATGCAGTCTAAATTTATTTTCACCTCCTATTTTCGTCAAAACAAACAAAAAAAAAAACAAAAAACCACACTTAAGAGAAAGCACCACCATTTGCCATGTGGCATTTCTACATCATATTTTCAAAATAAATTTTTATTTCTACATCCCCTAAACTTAAAAGGCAAATGCAGTCCAAATTTATTTCCATCTCCTATTTTCGTCAAAACAAACAAACAAAAAAAACCACGGGTTCATAAAAAACCCAAATCCTCATCCCCATCGCCACGACAAACGACTCCTTAATCAATCCCTTCTCCACAATTAAAATAAATAAATAAATTCCTCATCAATCATCAATTGAGAATATGTGGTGAAATATACTCATTTCCTATTAGCATGTTCAATCTTTTCATTAGTGATGATCAACTACATCCTAATCGTATAAAATTTTAACTTCAAAAAATATTCTTTTTACCTCTTTATATAAACACAAAGGAAAAAAAAATTCTCATTGATCTTACTTCGGCCGTTGTGGTGGTGCCATTATAGGTATTAAAATTTAAATAATTTTATTTTCACAGATAATTGGTTTGACTTTTATTATTTTTTATTTTTTTCGTTCAAGAATAGTGTTATTACTATTATTTTTATGCGTCCATCCGTTACAGCTACCGGAGCCGTTGTCAGGTAGTATGATGTGATTTCTTATTTGGTTAGTTAGTCTATAATTTTTGTATGATTTTAGTTATGTTTGGATTGAATTGATTGATTGGATTTTTGTTACAAGGTGTGGTTTTTTAAATTTGTTTTTAATGTTCCATTCAATTAGAGTGGTTTTCTTTTTTTTTAATTATGGAGTCTCAGGTTTTTTTTCGTATATGGCCAGTTATGAAGTGTGTTTTTTCTTTGTTTAATTGCTTTTGATTTTGTTTCATACTCCCAATTGACCAATTATTATTGTTGTTATTATTATTATTTTATTTACAAATGAAGCACGTTTTTTTTGTGTTCGGGGTTTCAAGAATATACTTTTTTGTATTTGGTTTTTGGACTTTTTTTAGTTCCTCGTCATATAAATAGTTCAGGTCGCTTCTTTTAACTAATTTGTGGGGAAGCCTTTTATGAATTTGAGGTGGAGAGGGAAGGAATGATGTTTCTACGTTTATTTGTATTTTTATACATCATTTTTACCTATAGAAAAAAAGTAAAAATTCTCAAATTTTAATAGGTTATCTTTTACTTTTTTTTTATTTGCCATGATGAGGTGAGTTCCTTTTTGCTATATCTTGAAACCTATGCAAATTTACATTATTTTCATTCTCATATTTGTGATCAACCAGTTTCAACAATTAACCAGTATCAAAATCATATTTTTGATATTTTACGACCTATAAACTTTTGGAAGAAATAGTTCCAACAATTAAGCGTATACCCATTGGAGGAAACTAACTACAAAGCTATTATAAATCTCCAAAACTAAGTATTGATTTGGCACAACCAATGGAGAACATCAATAAATTATCTTACAAATATTTAAACTTATTAGGATGGTTTTATATTTTTTCTAGCATTTACTTCAAGACATATATTTGATCAAGTTTATTTATATTTAAGAAGTAACAATTATAAAATATTTTTAAAATTTTCAAACATTTTTAAAATTCAAATACAATTTATTCCCCTGGGCGTACTAATCCATGCCCCTTATCAAGCCAAAACGTAGCGGGCCAAATACAATTTATTTTTATGCCAAATACAAACATCACACTTATAAAACATTTCTAAAATTTTTCAAATATTTCTAAAATATATCGGGCCAAATACAAAATATTTTTTTTCCAGATACAAACATTTCTAAAATCTACAGATATATTGGGCCAGGGTCGCGCATTACGCGACCAGACATCACTAGTACTTACTTAGACATCATTTGGGATTCGTCTTAACTTTCTTCTGGGTGTAAATTGCATGCGTCGACTTTTTTCCGTCTCTATAGATAAGTAGATAGATGCGTAAAACTGAAATTACAATTCTTATGAATATGAATGATGTGGGAATCTTTCATAAATAAAATTAACAAATAACAAAGTCAAAACTAATGGATCTAACAAACTAAATGATGTCTAAATTTTTTAAGGAAAAAAAAAGATATAAATTCGTAGCAATTTT